TTGACAATAAAAATGAAAATTTTATGTAATTCCTATTTCTGTGTGTGTTATTCCGCAAGCAAGTCCCTACTCTGATTCCCTAACAGAGTTCTGCTTTCCCATTGCCTGAATAAATACAAACACTGCTTTCTAAGACGTTGAAAAAACAGTATTCAAATATAAAATAATTCATTTTATTAATCAAGTTTGTGGTCAAAGAGACATTTGGTACATAGAGCCAATAAACTAGAAACTTGGAGGAAAAATGGGGAACGCTCAAACACTCCTTCTAGCCAAGGAAAATACCCAGCATGAAGGCTGACAAGAAGCAAAACCCTTCCCTTGGAGAAATAAATGGCAAAGCCTCGCCTGGGAAAACAAAACATAAAGTTTACATCAAGAAGCACCCTTTTGTCTTTCCTGCTTAACTGTTAAGAAGAAATAGCAAAATGGGATTAAGAGTTGGTGGGGTACAAAACCTCTAACGTAAAAACATCGGCATTTTTTAACCTGATAAAAATAAAATTCCTTTACAAGCAAAGGAGATTTTGCCAGCAAATGTAAGCACATAACGTTGAGATCTTCAAAAATCACAAGGCCATGCCTTTCCAAAGGTTTAGGTTCCACACTCACTCTCCATTCCCCCGACAACCCCCTGTTGTCTGCAAGTCCTCTGGCAGCTAAACGGTACCTGATTGGTCTTGAGTACATTTCATGTACATGCTGGGCTCCAGTGCTTTACCTGATTTTAGGTGAATTCAAAAGGCATCTGTGAACCCAGAAAGCAGGTTTCCAGATGCCTAAGGAGGGTTGGGACCCTTGTAGCACTTTTGCCTTCAGCAAAAATGTATTTCAATATAATTATAGTAGATAGCTTTCAATATGTCATCTCTATTATAGCAGTTGTAAATTATGAAGTGAATTGCCTGTGTACAAGCATTTCTTCTGGCATAAGCAAAGTGGGAGAGCTGCACAGGGCATGATATATCTTTTCCTTTTTAGCTGAGAACAAATGTCTAAGTCAAATTTCATTTGCTAAAACCAATGTGCCCATTTCCCTTTGGCAGAGATGGGGAAGAACCAAGAAGGCCTTTAATTCTTAAAAACAGGCTTCCCAGGACTCTTGGCTCAAGTTCGTTAGGAATTCACCTATTCTATTAGTGGGGCCTTTAATCATAAGAGCATATTTGGAAGGTACAGTAAAAGCATTTTCCAAAACTTACAGCTGATCAACAAGAAGACAAAGAAACAACCAGATTTTTCTCCCCACTAAAGGGGGAGGCAATGCACCCAAGACAAAATATTACAAGACAGTTGGTACAAGCTTTGGAAAATTATCATATTCCTGTTGGGTGTCAGGATCAAAAAGAGAAAAGTAAAATAGTTCTGTTTCCTTTCGGGTGGTAGTAATATTAAAGAAACTTACTCTAATACACTATGCCCACTATTTCAAAAGTGTTATAAGTGAATTAAGATGGTCATCATCAAAAATCATTACACATCTGAGCCTGTGTAATGGACACATTTGGTCAAAGGACATTTTCTGGAGGAAAACCACCCCAGGATTTTAAAGACAGTATCATTCCTAAAACACACACATAAAACTGAGCCTTGCAGCTTGGATTCAATTTTGCTCAAACTGTAGCTCTCGTCTGCTTAGCTTTGTAAATGTGGCTGTGTTTATAAGGTACTTTAATTTACCGCGGTGGTGGTGTTTGTTAATTTTATGGCAACCTAAATCTAAACAGGCTTCAGATATATTTTCATTACTGCTTCACTGCAAAATACAGTAGAGTGAATAGCTCTAAGATTCCAATGTAGTTTATTTCTTTTAGTAAAAGACAACACAATTTTCTGATGATGCTTCTGCCTTAACGTATATGTTCTTTCTATTTACTAACAAGCATTTTCTGTCACTCAGAGTACTCATGTTCACTTTTAGGAGGAAAAATATAATTTCTGGAAAGTGATTAAAATAGTTCTTTCCATCTCTACTCTGGTCCCGTTCCAAACGCAATCCAACATGGGCAAATCAGAGAAAAGTGGAAAACACCTGAATTATTTTCCCATTCTACATAAGTAGCTGCATAATTTTTTTTTTTTTTTTTTTTGAGGAAGATAGTCCTGAGCTAACATCTGCTGCCAATCCTCCTCTTTTTGCTGAGGAAGACTGGCCCTGAGCTAACATCCGTGCCCATCTTCCTCTACTTTATACATGAGATGCCTGCCACAGCATGGCTTACCAAGTGGTGCCATGTCCACATCCAGGATCCGAATCGGCGAACCCCGGGCCACCAAAGCGGAATGTGTGAACTTAACCGCTGTACCACTGGGCAAGCCCCAGTAGCAGCATAGCTTTTATCAATGGAAAAGAAAGGCATACTGTCAGAAACTGATTTCAATGCCTGATTCTGACACTAACCAGATGTGTGACATTGGACAAATCACTTGAGTCTCATTTTCTCATCTGTAAAATGGAAATTATAATACTATCTATTTTAGAAATGCCACCCCCTTCATCTCCCTTAATTCTGCTTAGCCCCTCTAGTAACTTGAAAGCATACCCCTGAAAGGTCTATCCCAGATAAAGCCCTTGTATCCCAAAGACTTGAAAAGAAAAGTTGACTATCTTATGTCAAAACTCCCAGATCCTAATAACTTAGGAACTACAGACAGAAGAGCTACAAAAGCCAGCCCCAAAGACAACTCAGGAGAATTAAATGCTGCTATGTTATTTCTAAAACAATTCAGAACCTACAGAAGAAAATGTGTAAACTAAAATTCTGTTGAAATAGCCAAGTAGTCATTATATCCCATCTATTTATTTGTCCATAATACTCCATCAATTTTATATATCTACATTTTTCCTTCCGAAAGTGTTAGCAAAAATGAGAAAGGAATATAAACGGTTTTTATTAGGCTACTAATATATCTAGAAATAAGATTCATATTTACATTTTAAAACTCATTTCCCAATTTTATATTTAATGCAAAAATACATATTATAGATTAGTTTATGGAGAACTTGTGTGTACGTGTTTATTTTTAAAGCAAAAACAAAAACAAAAACAAAAAACCTGGTGACTCTGATGCCAGCTTCACCCAACTTCTAATAGGGCTATCGGGAGAAAATAGGGATGCCAGTGTGAAGAAACATGGCAGGAGACACTAAGGAATCACCTGAATTCCTCAGCTAAAGGATTCAGGTCATTTGACCCCTAATAATACAAACCTTTCCATGCAAAGTGACTGGTGGTATTTATTTAGTAAGTATGTATAGATGTATTTAACATAAAGTTATGCAATTAGAATTATACCACAAATTAGAACCATTTTCTACTGTTTATGCTCAGGGCAACCTTTTCAACCATGACTTATTTTGTTTACTCTCAATTATTCACATGTCAAATCAGAAGCTCCATTTTTTCTACATACATACACAAGATAATTTTTCTAAAATTCTCATTTGCACATCTTCCATCAAAAATTATTCCTACAAATGAGACTAGAGATACAGTTTGAGAACCCAGAAAGTCGTATTCAGGAAAAAAGACAACATCTTATAATATTAATTTATATTGTATTTTAACACAAAGCTATATAAATCTTTCTACCCTCCCTCAAAACACACTCACCTCTGGGACAGAATCCAGTACTTGCTTAACACCACCATATCCAGAATATTATAGAAAGCAATGAAAAAGTAACATACACAACTGACACTATACAGGGGACTTAGAAGAAAAATTAGTATTAAACCTGACTAGGACTCCCACATCACACTACGGTGTTTGGACTTTAAGAAGTACCTTACTACATAGTGAAGTATTTATGGGTGAAATGATATGATGCCTAAGACTTGATTTAAAATATTCCACCAAAAAAAAAAAGCAAGGCAGGGGAGTGGGTAGACAAAATAAGATTGATAAAATGTTGATAATTATTTCTCTGGGTAATGGGTATCTAGGGGGGGTTCCTTATTTTAGATTGAACTCTATAAAACTGCCAATACACAACTATTTTTGGCCTAAAAACTTCACATTTCATAGGATTCAACTTAATAATATTCTCTTTATTTTTGGGTACATTTAAACATTTGTATAATATTATTTTTTTATTAACTTCCAGTGAGAATTCCTCAAACTAAGCAGGTTTTTAGGCTTAAAATAACAGCTAAAATATATTTAAAATGAACCACCATTTTACCTTATTTCATTGAATCTAAGACTTACTAATTTTTTCCCACATTTTAAACATATCTGATGTTTGGAAGCATTTTACAATCAATGGCATGTTATAGTTAAATTAAGCAGTGTTAATTTTTTCTTCATGATACATAAAACAATGGTAACAGCTTAAAATCAAAGATATCTTAGATTCAATGAATATGGTTAATATAATTGCTGAAAATAGCATTTCTAATCCATGTTCTCTTTCTAATCAACAACTTAGCACACGAGTACTATTCCCTGTCCCAGGGTACCTATAATTATCCTGGGAGGTCTCCTCCTCAGAGAGACAGGTCAGAACCTGCTTACTTTGTGAAGTTAGCTCCCTCCCCTATAGTCTGGCACAATCCATAAGAATTAATTCCTAGGAGGATTCTGGAGCTCACAGCATACGAGGAAGAGCCCACTACACAATGTTTCCCTTGAAAAGTTGTTAGGGCTTATGAACAAGGCCAGTGCACAAATGTTAATTTACAGAGCTGTGAAGAGCACCAAGCAGTGAGGCCAAAGGGGAAGCATGGCTGCAGGTGTGGTAGTAAGGGCACGTGAATGTGAGGAATGAATAAAACTAAAACAGGCAGATGGGATAAAATAGGTTTAGCTTCACCTCCAAAATCTCAAAGGGACTTCATTTCATGAATCCAACAATTCACTTGGATTTTTGCATTGACCTTATTTACTTTGCTCTTTGTGTTAACACCTACCCCTCACAGCCCTCAGAATTGGTTAGCGCAGTCTAATAGAAGAGCAATAGAGGGTTTGTGCAGGACTATGAGAGTGGCGGCTGCTGACCTGTTCATATTTCTCCAGTTCTGTGTGATAGATTTGTCTGATCTGGGTCAATTTGGCTCTGTAATCTGAGTGTTCAATAGAGTTATCTGAAGAACCTCCAGAGGCTGCCGCGGCTGCAGCTGCTGCCGCCGATCCCCCACCTTTCTCAGGACCTGAAACCCCTTCTGCCAAAAGCATATTGTCCAGTCTCATTAGCTGGGGATCGGGAGGGTCCTCCTCCTGGGCTCCTCTGATGCTGAGACCTTCAAGGAAAGAGAGAGAGAAACAGAGAGAGAAGAAGCGAGAAACAGGACAAACAGTGTGAGTATTTTGTTTATTTGAGAAAATGATTAAACAACATCAGTGTACTACAATTCACTCTGAGAATTTCATTGTTCACATTTTATCAATAAGCATAAGTAAGTATGAAAATTCTATTCAAGATAATATTTACATGCATCCTATAATTTCTAATATCATCCCCTTTCAATTTATCCCACATTGGATCCTTAGAAAAAAGGAACAGTGGCTTCTCAGAATATTCTAACACCTAATCTTCCTAGATTTAGACGATTTAAGCATAAAATGGGAAGGGGGTAAAAAATTTGAGATTTTGAGAAAGGAAAAAATAATTCTAAGGATATTTTAAAAACCATCAGAAGGTGATTATTCTGCTTCTCTGTAAAATTGGAAGAACAGAATTTAAAATCCCATAGAATAATTAATTCATAAGCTATATCCAAAAATCAGAAAATAAACAGAATTAGATGGGCTTTTCCATCATGTAATTTCAGGGGAGAAGAGAAATGCATACATTATGAGGTAATTAGCTATGCTTTAAAAATATATATTATTAAATGAATTTGTTAAGCAATTGCCAGCAAACTATAAAAGCAGGACACTAAATACAGTATTAAAAATGTACCATCGACATGGCAATATGGTGCTGGGTACAGTACTCTCAATCTAATTTTGCTTTTAAATCAAGAACTTCCTAAGTGATGCCCAGTCAGCAACCTCATCTGAGTACTATAGATCACAGCTGACAATTCATAGGTTTAATCAGGTCACACAGGCTTTCTGCCAAGATGTTTTCAACAACACAGAAGACGAAGTTTTAAAATAATTATCATGGTATAAAAAGCACTGGAGTCATGACAGCTCAAAATCAGCATTTTCATTAACATGTAACATAATCTAAAATATCCCAGCCCAATTAACCTCTGTAAATCTGTTTAAAAGCAGGCTCCCCACACTAGTTACAAGGCATCTTTGGGGAGGGGGGAAGGAAGTTGGCAACTTGCATGTCTACATTTGGATTCTGCCTTTTGCGTCTGTGCCTGTTGTTGTTTATCCACAGTGGTGCACACTCTGTGTCTAGTGTAACTTACATGACAGTAACATCTATAAGCTGCCAACTACTCAACTGAGCACCAGCTCTGTGATTTTATATGCTAACCTAAAAGTACCATTAATTCTTTTAGGAACAGATTTCATTCCTAGACGTCCTGAATTACACCCACAGCATGACAGAACTCTTGGTTGTCTTAACTCAAATGCACAACTTTAATATCCTCCCTCAAAACACTTTAAAGCTGTCACTTTCATTTAAAAGCATACTTCAGAATAATTTCAACTGGGTAATAAAACTAATTCACAATAATTTAAAATTATATCTGTTGCCTGTTCAGAGGTAAATAAGTAAGGTTTGAAAACTATAATATACTAAAACAATAAATTCATTTAGGGACGCAAAAAGTTAGATAACTCTCTTAAGGTAAAATCAGTATCAGCACATCACTGATAATTAAAGATAGACAAACATGTATCTGTCATTTCTTCTAGATCTACAGGAAACTGCCCAATATTGTTCTAGAACTGGCAAATGTTGGTTACACTGGGATTTTAATTTAACATCTTTGATTTTCTTTCCTTCTAATTCACTTTGTTAGATGTTAAAATCTCATGATGTAGACATGCTTGTAGTTCCATCTACCGAGTTTCCTGTGCATTTCGCATGCGACGAGGACCACTGAGCAACCTCTTATCTTGCACTTTGGGCTCTGTTTCATTTTATACTATTTGTTTGGGAATTCCTTAAGATTCTCATTTTTAAACTAAATTTTTGCTCACATTTTTGTGTTTGTTGTTTCTTTTTTGTTTTTACACAGATGCTGGTGCCTCTCCTGGAAATCTGTTTTTTATCTACCTCAAGGTTCCTCCAGGTTTCTACTTTTCCTCTTGTACTTACACATATCGCTCTTTTCCTATGGACATTTGGTGAGGTTCTTTAATAGCAGATCAACATCCATAGTCAAAATTATTACTCTTCCCTGCACAAGTGTGGCAAACAAGAGAAGATGCTCAATGACTAATACACAAGGAAGCAGACAGACTATAAGGGAGACAGAAGAAGGAAATTCATCAGGAAGAAATGCAAAAGACACAACTAATTAGCCATCTATGCCACTTTTATACATACCTAATACGTATATAAACCAACACCACCATACCAATAACAAGCAACCCCTTAAACTCAATAGTAGTAGACACAAATAAAAATAAGTATGTATTTTCAGCTGGTCTAACATTTTCCCCTTGTGATGAATAATATCTCTTACTTCTAAAATCATAAGTAAATCAACACTTCAGTGTTTGCTTCAACTACAGGAAAAAATGTTTTAATGCAATCCTTCTGCATTTACTTTATAAATTATGTGCATCAAAGCTAACCAGAAAATCATTTCCCAACAAAAAGTTCATACTCCTTTGGATGAAAAGTACTAGAGCAGTTTGCAATTAGGTAACATTGAGAAAGCTATTTATCAATACTGAAGTCATTTTCATAACTATAGTTGGAAAAGTGAATCAAATTTTTTTCTTTATTAAGCCAAGTCATGATCATAGATCTTTAAATAGCAATACCTAGTTTCCAAAATTATTTTTTATTTGAATATTTTTATTTATTTTCTTACTTTACATTTAAGTTACTATTTTATTCGTCATCCTACCTACCTATTCACTCACTGTTACTTAGCCTACTAAACTGCCACAGTCACACACGGCTTCCAGTCGGCACATCTTCTCCTGTGGGCACCTCTACACATTTTAATAAACCTAAATTTCCAAGGGCCAGAATGAATGGGACTGTTTTTCTATCAAAAGATTTGATACTTTCAAATTGAACCTTGGGAAAATAATAATTTAAAAATTGGCCATTCTTGTTTTTAATCCAAAAACGTATACTGGAACATTTATAGAGATTTATAAAGTTTACATCTAGGCTCCTTAGTTATTATAGCATTATAAACTTAAAAAACAACAACCCTAATTGCAATCTACTTATAACCACAACATTCATTTCAGTATCCCTAAGATTTAGACAAATCATACAAACACAGTAAAACATTGTTTAACAATGAACTTGGCTTTGTTATAAGCCCACAGTTTTTGCATATCTTTCAGCAAATCCTAATTAGCTGTCTTTCAACATGCTGTGCACCTGCCCCACAGATAATGGGAGAGAGCATCTGCATAGACGACTGCATTCGGAGGGCAATAAATAAATTACGGGTCAAAATTATTACAAAGCTTTCTCCGAATAAACGCATGCCCTTCACAATACTAAGCTGCAGATGTGAAAAGTACCTAAAGCCCACTCAAATGGTATGATTACGGGGCTGTTTGAGTTTAATAATCTGACTGTAATTCAGGCATTCTCAACAGCTCATTAAGGGTTCATTAATATATAGGCAAGCTTTTGAATTATAAATAAGCAGATTAGAAATCTGCAGTGCCTGGATTGTACAGTAGTAGCCTCTCCAACAGAACAACACTGTAACACAATGAAGGCTTGACCTGAGAGAATGAGGCGCAAACACAGGGCACTAACCAAGCTTCGTGGCTCCCTCATCTCAAGGACAAAGCCCACTGGACCATGACTAACCCCTGTTCATCCAGGACTGAAGAGTGGCTTCAGACCATGGCTACTGCAAATGTGCTCTACATATGGTTGTGAATTAGGCATAACTAAGATCTAGCCCTACAATATTTCCACAGTTAGGGAAGACACACAATATTCAGAGTAACAATAAATAAAAGTTATCGGATCATTTTTACTTTGTAAAAAGTACATTATTCAGAGCTGCTGAGAAACAAAAAGCTATTATGGAAACTTGAGTTGTTTGATTTTTTTCCCCCTAATGAGTATGCCATAAAACTAGATCCCAAATTATTCATAAGCTTAGGCCTATGAAATCTCTATACTTTTGTTCTCTGATGAACTTGTTTTTGATTCATTCAATACCACACCACAATCTTAGCTCAGAGGAAAATGTTTTAGCAGAGTGTCATGTAAAATAAGGCCAGATCAGATATTTTCAGCAGACCCTAGATTCTTGGCTGCTTTGAAACCAGTGACAATTCTACTATCTTCTGTTTTTCTTATAATTTTCCATAGATTTTATTTTG